AAAGAAAGAAAGAAAGAAAGAAAGAAAGAGTTGTCAGATATCACATATCCTTTCATAGGGAACCAAAGCCTTTGGGACTAACCGATGAATGACTAAGTGTGAATGACGGTGAGAAAGTTGTACAGATGTGTGAATATTCACTGTAAACTAGTCACATCATCAGATCGTATTTAAAGATTGACAGAGGTTGAGGAAATACTCACATTTATTTAAGTAAAAGTAGCAACATCACATTGTGAAAATAAAATCTACACACTGTGAATATTAAGTATTCAGTGCAAGGAAATTGCCTCTACGAGTGTTATGCTATTATATATTATATTACATAATTCACTATTATTACTTATATGTGTGTATGTAGCATTTTCTGTTGTAGTTGGTTGAGGTTGAGCTAGTTAATAACATTTTAGAAACTGCTGGTTGGTTTAATCTTCAACAATACATTACATTATTTTTATTAATATTATTATTATTATTATTATTATTATTATTATTATAATAATAATAAGCTTCCCATATATTTGGTTGCTATAAAATCTTGAATTTGCAAGTAACTTTTAACCATAGCTACCAATTATACCAATAATAAATAAATGAAAAAATACACAAATACAAATAAATAAATAAATACTTCAAGTAAAAAATGCAATATTTCCCTTGGAATTGTAACGGTAGCAGTATAAAGTATTAAATGGAAATGGAAAAGTAAAGTACAAGTATCGCAAATTTGCACTTAATGTACTTGGCTACATTGCACCACTGAAGGTAAAGCAAAATATACAGTATGTGTAGGCTCATTCTGTCCAGAGCATGAACAGCTAGACGGTTAATGGTCTAAGTGTTCCTTATTGCACCTGAGGGGACGAGCAGCAGGCTAAAGGTGCTGACTGAACTTAACATTTTCACAGTAAAATGCAAACAATTCCTTTTTAGATTCTTATGTTTTGATTATCTACTCTATATTGATACAGTGAATGCATATCATATATTCACGTTTATATTATTTGAAGTCTTTCATTATGATATTATTAAGAAATATGTAATTATATTGTGTTCTGTTTTGTTCTATTCTATTGTAATCTCTTTTGTTCTATACCACTGATCCCCATTCCTTGCTACTGTAGTACATGTAGTACCACTGTAAACCTTACTGTGTGGTCTGGTGATTAATGACACAATAAAGACGGACATTTCCGACAACTGTCGTGACACGTGCAGCAGTAACGATGTAATGCAAATGCGCAGCAATCAATCTTGGCACAGAAGTGGTTAAGTTTCAGAGGGAGGTGGAACAAAAAGCCAGCCATATTGGCAGTGCTGTGTGCCAAGTGGTAGTCATGGCCCCTGCCCAGCCCTCCTATTACGAGGCTGGCAATAAGTTGGCCTGCCCGCTGGGGAAAACAGGGAGCTGACACCAGGAACATATGCAGCAACACCTGATTGCTGTGCCACCGCCACGGACCTGGCTGCCAGAGAGCACAAATACGGCATATGTAGATTCAGCACACACACATACAACAATGTTAGAGAGGGAACATGTATAATAACATGTATTATGATACCATGCATACACAATCTGGGTGAATACCTGCAGACTTGTGTACACAATCTAAAAAAAAATGAACATGTAGACTAAAATACACTTTTACTTATCACCACTCGTGCTACACAACTATTATGCCTAACAGAGCACATGCATGCACAAACACACACACCCTCTGACTTACACAGCAAACCCACTGGGGATTAATTTCCTTACTCAGAGAGTGTGTATGCCAGGCTTGGCTGGTGTGCCAGTCGCCCGCGGTGCACCACACGCTGCCATGCTGTGCCAGCAAACAGCACTGATGCCCTCCATTTGCAGTGTCACATATATCAAATGCATGCTGCTATCACTTAGCCCTCAGTAGTCTGAACCCTGCCCGCCTCGCTGTTCAAATCTGTGTGTGTGTGTGTGTGTGTGTGTGTGTGTGTGTGTGTGTGTGTGTGTTTGTGTTTAGCATCTGGTTTCACCCACTGCTATGTACTCCAATGGATATTTGATTGACGACGGTCCAGTATAATGCCATGATTGATTGTGTGAAAATCAGAGTGAATGAAAGTGTTTTCGGGATTATCTGTGACCAGACACTCACCCCGCTCTGCCTCAACACAAACTGACATTTCTTGGGATTTTATATCCTGCCGTTTTATAGAACTTTATACCAATTCCCAAACCCATGACCTTCTTAATAATCTCACACACATGCAAACACACACATACACAAAAATGCACAAACTTGCCCATAAATGCACATACACATTTAAAATTGCATACAGATTTTCTACCTCTTTGGCCAGTAAACCGCAGTCAGTGCATCATTATGGAGCCATGTGTGGTAAAAGGAAGAAAGCTTGAGAGGGGAGGAGGAGGAGAAGGAGGAGGAGGGTGGGGGAGTTGTTAGAAACTAGGCCTGCATTGTCTGCTCCCTCTCAAAAGGTTTTTACTGTTGTTCATGGTCACGTTCTGAACTGGATGCGACCCTACAGGTGTCCCTGCTCTCTAAATGTGTTCCCCAGACCCTTCACCAGCCCCCTCAAGCCGCCTGTCTGTGACCCCTGACCCCACAGACCCCAGGAAGTATGGGTAATGGCAGGCTTGTCAATAAAGTTCAGGGTCACTAATAGACTAGCTTTGTTCTGCGATGTCAGCTAGCAAAAAGGAAAAGACGAGGGGAAAAAAAATCTCCCTCTAACCCACCGTCCTTATAACGTATCTGGGTCTATTCAAATTAAAAATGGGTGCTTTTGATTGTAAGCCCACAACCCACCACCTCTCCCCTCTCCCTCTTCCTCCTGCCTGCCTGCCTCTCCTCATCTTCTTCCATCTTCTTGCCCAGCTCTTCTCGTCTTTAACTCCAAAGAGGTGCTTGTGCGTTGGGCTAAAAGGTCTTAATGTGTCTGCATTCATGGAGCCAGACCATAGAAGGCTGTTTTTAACCCTGTTTACGGCCTTGCATCCATTTGGCCAGGAGTCCTTCACTCCGCATCCCTCCCCCTCTCCATATCTCTCTCCATTTTGCAACCTCCTTCACTCTCTCTTGCTCTCTTTCTCTCTTCCACCCACATCCCAATCCTTTTGTGATAGGATATGAATGCACTTTGCTAGTTGATAATTACACTCTCCTTCTCTGCCCTTCTCTCTCTTTCTGACAGTGGGATCCACAGGCAGTCCTTATTCAGCCAGTAATTTGCCTGTCCTCCTCATTCATTGAGAAGGTACAAATTATCCCTCACACGGGCACTGGCTATTCTCCCTCTCAGCCAGTGTGATGAGGACTGCACTAAAAAGAAAATAGCCAAGAATATGCACGTTGTATCTGCTCTAAGTGTAATTTAAAAGAAGAGATTTGTTTTTCATTCAGAAAGTAAAGATTTCTAGTTAATATGGCAGGCAAATGGAAAGAAGCAATAATGAACACCCCTAATTGTACTGCATTTCACAGTAAAAAATTTGATTATGATGATACAGGCATCTCCATAGAATGAATTTCAAACAATTTGTTTTGAATGTCTTTGACCATATCAAATACAAGATGTTTGGCTTAAGCACAATAATTACAGTCAACACCCGCCGTCAGCCATCTTGAGATAATTCACAGAGATGATTCCTGGCATTACAGTGTCCAGGCTTGGGACACATTTGGACATTTGCTCCTCATTGCCTTCTCATCAACACCCATAGCTGAGGTCTCACCGCCGACCCAACTGTGTTTAAGCCTCGTCCAAAATAGTCAGAGCGACAAACAGATAGTTAGCAAATGAAAGGATCCCACGACAAATTACTTACAGGACTGTTGCTTCTTCGGAGCATATGTGTCTGCAGCCATTTATATCGCCTTTATGAGTGTATAGTTTTGTCAGGATTTATGGCTGGATTTGAATTGCGTACAGTATAACACCCTTCAAGGCTGGAGTGTTTTGAATCCTTAGACAGGGTTGGTTTATTTCAGCATATCTGTGTGAATTTAATTACAAGTGCTTTGCTCAGTTAAGAAGTATGACAGCACCACGGGCCATTTTGGTAATTTATTTATGGGCTGCGTTGGCAGGGTAGTGGAACCTCATTGGATGAGAGCAGGGTTCATGCAGCCGGTGGCGATTACAGGGCAAACGTGACCACCGGACAGACAACAACTGGCCCGGGAAGTCAACAGGAAATGCTTTTTTAAAAGACCATAATCATGTTTTGCCAAGTAATTACAGAACGAGACAAAAAATATGAAAACACATGGTGATAATGGGACAAAGCATTGATCATAACTGTACAGAGCAATGCCTGATGGGCATGGAGGGACAATGGAGTACAGAGGCACCCATTGTTCCTTGACTCAATGAACTATGTAGCTCATTAGGTGGAGCTTCCCAAGATTAAAGAGATGGATATGAGCGGAGGAGTCAAGGCCCGAGGTTAGAACTGGGGGCGAAAATCGACACTCTGCCACAGCAGAGATGATCCAGCTCCCGAGCCCCTGACCCCACAGCAGGCTGCAGCCTTTGATTCCTCTACTGCTTTTTTTCATCCGCACATCAAGAACACACATCGTTTCATCTCTTTGCATATTATCAGACTCCACCCCGTTCTCCTCATCTCTAATAAGGAGTATCCGTCGTTTCTTCATCTTTCCCTTCCTTGTCTTGCTCTCGTACAATTATTGCCTTCTCTCTCTCCGTAAGGGGTCCGTAATTGATGGATTTCATTGAAGGGTGTAGGTGTTGTATGTATATCTGCCAAAAGCACTACAGCATTGATATTCTCCCCCAGGCAAAGGAAGAGAGAGGGAGAGAGACATAGAGGGAGAGAGAGGTGACCCTGCTGGCTGAGTGGCAGTGGCCGTCATGCATAGCATCTCTAAAATGGAGGGAGGGGGGTGGGGTGGAGGGAGGGTGAATGTCACTTTCAAGTGTCTCCTCGGCACTCTCCCTTAATGAGAGATGGGTTCTGCTCCACAGACAGCCAAGGGGACCAAGGAAGGGCCCTCCCCGCCTCCTCCTCATTCCTCCCCTCCACCCCTCAGATCTCCAATCCTCCAAGGAGCTGACAGCTCGAAGATCCGCGAGCCTGCGTCTCCTCCACCTGCACAACCTCATTTCCCCATCATAACAACAACAACAAAGGTAGGAGGATTTGTGTTTCCTGGTACTGTCCCTGTCTTCACAACATGCACATCCTCCGTACATCACTCCTAATCAAAATGACCCCCACTTATATTCTCACTGTACTGGCTCACATCTTCCTATCTCACTCTTTTCTTAAGTGAGGGATGCACACTAATGCTATTTAGCTAGCCCGGCTAGTGATTCATCCATTCCAGCTGAAGGGAAAGGTGAGAGGAGAGATCTCCCAGGACTCCTTGCAGCCCCCATCTGTCAGACGCACCCGGCCCACTGATTTACATTTACCGCAAGGATTTATGGGATGCCCGCCACAAAACGAGTCGAAGCAGCAAGAATCATGGGGCGAGAGACAGAGCGGGGAAATTATTCAAAGCAGTGATTATTTTGGGACGGCCATTACGCATGCACACCTGATCAGGGGGTGTCACCCGTGACTCCCCCCATCCACCATGATGGAGAGGGGCCTCATCTGTGCTGCGCTCTTGTTTTACCTGGCTTGCATAAAGGAGAATTCTCTTAGGCACCAGCAGAGCCTACTAAGGCTAAATTAGGCCCCCGGACAGGCAGAGGAGAAGGGAGAGAAGAGCAGATGAGGCAGTTATGTATGCACAGGGGATTGAGATGAGGGATACTGGTCAAATTCACGATCAATCTTAAACCCAACATATCGTGGCTATATATTCACAAATGAATATTCGCTGCTTTCTGTGTAGTTATTCCTGTATGAGGTTATTTCAACATACTAGGCCAGATTCACCATATATTACAATATTTAGAACTTCAAATTTATAGCATTACAAATAAGTAGAAACTAAATGCAGCAAATGATCTTAAATGTGTGAATTTCTGTATGTTTAACAGATGACATTTGCTAGTCCACCTGTTCACTCCGTAATCCAGAAGCCTAGAAAATGTCACAATGACAGCCCTCCTTTCAACATGGCTCTTAAAGCTTTGTTCACTTGCCACCTTCAGTGAGAATCATCACTTATAGTCATTACTTACAGCACTTTGCAGTCGGTAGCAGAAAAAGGTTAGCGTAGCCAAGTTTGAGCACATGCTCCTGTTCTGTAGCATTACAACTGAGGTCAGCTCAGCTGCAACTCTCGGCCCTCCTCCCCTCTCCTCCCCTCAGCTCCCTATCTCCTCGCCAAGTTCATTACCAGTGGCCCCCAGGAACGACCTGATTTCAATTCAGACGCACTTTGTTCAATTGCCCTACATGGGAGAAGTTGCTGGAATGGGGCCAGTTGATTATGCTCTACCACCACTATGCTTATTTTATTTAATGCCCAAAACAGCGGATAATTTTAAAAATCTAGGGCAACTAATCATGATGGTTTTTTTTCTTCTTCTACTTTCATTTGCTGCCTTGTGTATCCATTTCTTCCACATTTTATTTTACACTCAGAGGCAAAATGCTGAAAATGTTTCATGGTACACTTAGCAAGTGTCTGAGTGGTGTCAAAGAGCAGATGAGAATTGGTGATTAGCCGTTAGCAATTATCTGACCTTAAGATGAAAGGAGCAAGGATAAGATCCTAGCTGTAGTGATGAGGTCAACATGACTGACCTCTAGTGTATGTTTTGACCTCAGAATGACAAAGAGATGACTCCAAATCTACACTGAATGATAAGCAGCAGGGCTAAACTGTAAGTGCCAAGTTAGCAGACGTGGTGTTTTAGAGAGTGGTTGTTATTGAGTCTGCCACAGGCATTTTCCTTCTCCTTTCATGTTCTCTCTGTGTAGGCAACATGGTCTCATGAAATTTTGTGAGCCTGATGTCTTTAATGACAGCTCTAGCTTGATTTATGTTTTTGCACATTTTTTCCATCCCTTTAATGTACTATAAATTTTGAATATTTTACTGTTATATCTGTTTCTATGATTAAAGACATTTACATTTTATCCACGGCTCCCAAACTCATTTGCTCCAATTGGAGTAAAAAAAACATACAAAACAGCTTTTTCAAAACTAAGCACTTTGCACCTAGTCCATAAAAAAAGTGGGGAACAAAGCTTTATTTTCTGCAGTTTTTAAAATGTCACAGTCTAGTTTACAGAGTGCCTTCTTAAAACCTAAGATGTTCAAGAAATCAAACCTAATTTTCTATATCTATGGTGTGTGTTTCTTCATCAGTAGCCTGTAAATATATTACATTATGAATTATAAAATAGTGATAGAGTCTGCCACTCCAGTGCTGAATTCATATTGAATTTTTTAACCCTGAGATTTAACCCTTGCCTTAACCAAATAATTTTAAGACCAAAAACTAAAATCGTTTTTTAAAAAAGTTTTATTTTTCACCTGACCTTTTTGGCAAAAAGAAACCTTACTCTTATACCTTTTCAATGTGTAGATAGACTGCTACTACATTTTGGGTAAGAAGGAAGCAGTCCTTGCTGGAAAGAGTCTCTGTGTCAGAGGAACCAGAATGTTTTATTGTGCCTCTCTGGCCAAGGCTGTGAGCCCCTTACCTATGAGACACATTTACAGGCATTACAAAACTGGACAAAGTTCAACGCCAAGCAGTGCAATATCTCTGTTTTACTACACACTCTTTTCCCTACTCATCTACTGCCTGACTGCTATATAAGGGTCTTTATTGAGATGAAAAGCAGACTGAGAGTCACTATTTGAATCCGATTCAAAGAGTCTTATTCGTTCTATGATAGTCTTTTTCCTGGCAGTGAATGATCAGCTCGCTAAAAATGGCCTGCTCTTTGTGCCAGCTGATCCCGAGATGATGAGTCGTTTCAGCGGGTCCAAAGGAAAGTTGATTTGCCCCCAAAACACAGAATCCTTATTTTGTCTGTTTGAAACTAGAACACAGAATGAGAATTGACTGTAGTCCACTTGTGCCACACTAAGTCTCACAGAGAAAGAGGTGTGAGCAAAGCCTACTGTAGAGCTTAAAGAGGCGAGAGGGAGAAAAGCAGCTTGGATGGGAGAAGCGCTGGACTAGGTGGGCAGATTAGTATCACACGGATCCCTCAGTGGGATGAGGTGATGATGGAAAGTCTACTTTGCATTACATTTTCAAGTGTTGCTGCTGATTTATATTGAAAATCATCACACTGAAAGACTAAAGCAACATACTGCCTTAACCCCCAAACAGAAAGCTGAAGAAAGCAAGGTTAAAATCTCTAAGGATACTTTACTGGCACCAACGAGGAATGAACAATAACGAATGTAATGGCTATTAATCACGATTAGCATATTCCCCAGCACCCAGACCCCTCATACTATTGTTTTTGTCATGCATTCATACAAACCAGTGGACATGGTGATGGTGGATGTGTGGCATGACATATGTGGGAAATATTCTAAGGCTATTGTGGCCTGACAGAGGAACCTAATCTGTGGGATAGCTTTCCCTCAGATAGCAGGTCTGAAAGGCTTTTAACTGAAATAGGACAAAGGGACTCTTAATTTCCAATACGGTTTCATCGGTTGTCAGCCCAATTAACAGATCAGGAGGGATCAGTCTGTGACAACTGTCAGAGCACAACCTCAAGACAAAACCACTATTGTGCCTGAAGGAAACCTACATGCCCTGGTCAGACGGGTGGGGAATAGGTAAGACCCGACATGGGGTGAAGGACCAGAGTGTGCATACTGTGTGTAAGCATACAGGTGCATGTCTGTTCAAAATATGTCTGCAGTTATGAAAACATGTTTGTGCATGTGTCTGTGTATGTAATCATGTGCAAATATCTCTGCCCATCTATCTCTGCAGCAGAAGCCAGAGTGCCAGCAGTACTGACGGCCGATTTGCGGTGGGTTTGCGGCAGTGTTGAGGCTAAGTGCTGCTGACAAAGAGAGATGCCTCGAGGACTCTTCAAACGTCCATCCTCACACGACATGAAGCGGACAAGACCTGCAGCGTCTCTGAGATTGGACGCCAGTCTAAGCATATGTTACACAGGGACAAAGCAACAGAGAGAAACAAGGGAACAAGACAGATAGGGAGAAGCAAAGGGGTTAATGCAAAGCATGATAAGAGAGACAAGCAGACAGGCAGGCAGACAGACACACAGACAGACAGACAGAGAAGTGAGTGAGAGAGAAATAAGAAACAGGGAGGTGGAGGGGGGAGTGGATGTTGAAAGGGACATAGAGGCTGTGCATGAAAGGAAGGAGGGAACAAGGAGGGGTGAGGGGGTGAAGGAAAGGAGGGGTGAAGAGAAGGGAGGAAGTTTGAAGTAAAACTGTTGGGACGTGTGTGACATTAGGACATTGGGGCCCTGGCAGGAGTTGTGTCATTGGTCCATATGACTTGTGTGTTGCCTGGGTGAAGTAACGCGTTGCAACAGTGGTGGAATGGTCACTGTATGTCACTGCCCTTTCCATCAGAAGCCCTGTAATGGCATGTCAAAACATTTAGATGGGCGGCCTCATAAAATGTTGCTGATGACTAAATGTCCTTTGGCTGACAGAAATTGCAGTTTTGCTCAAGAATCAATATTTTAAATATAAAATTAATTCATCAGGAAAAAGAGTGAAATTGACGCTCCAGAAGTATCCCTCTGAAAAAGCTAGAAATCTTGTCTCTCCAGAGCCTTCATGATGGAGGCTCATGTGTACTTGGTTGCTGTGGGCTGATGAGACTGAGCAGAGTCCTTCGGCCATATAAACAAAACCCCTCGGCAGAGAAAATGCCAGGGTACCCCAGACCCCCCTACCAAGAAATCTGACTTGACAAGAAGCAGACACAAGTTCAAGCCTTGGCCTTCAGGCCTCACTGCATTCTTCACTATTCCACAGAACATAAAGTGGTGCAGAAATGTTGACATTTTTCCTGTATTGCACCACAAATTAGTCACACAAATAAAAAAAAGGTCATCTCAAATTAAATATGAAATTGCATAAATGTGTTTAATTAACTGTATCTCAGACAAATTACTTTCATATGGAAATATTTAACATTACCATTTGAGTTTTGTACATAACATATTACCACGCAGGTTATATTTACTAACAGAATTTCATTAGTTTATTATTATTGCCCGGAATTGTAAATGTATCTGCTATAAATGTAATATCCAGGAGACTAGACTGGTTAATTCTAATACAACATAACACCACTATAAACTAGAAAATCCACCTGACAACACTTCAGTACGTTTAAAGGGGCACTTCACAGATTCTACACATGAAGTTCAGTCACTCATCATCGGGACAACTACTCTGCCTGTAAAAACAAAGGTTTAATTTGTGATGTGGCTCTGGAGAGAGCTCTCTAAAGTCTGAGAAAATAACCCTGATGATGTCATCACAGTCATCTCAGGCTGAACTTGGAGACTAAAAATGTAGAAACAACAGAAAACTAGCGTTATAAACTAGGGGTACAGATTTTGAAATACTTGGGCATTTACCATGCAAGTAGGGAAAATCTAATAAAAGATTACTGCTGTAGCCAGTGTTTTTGGAGCTTTGTCAACACTGGGGGCTAAAAGTCACGACATCTCAGCTTCTTTTTGGATTCTGACAGTTTTTTAAACCAGCTTTGTACTGTTTGTGTAAATAATACTTACTTTTTAATTGTTTTACCATAACCACAGTCTCCAACCCTAACCAAGTGAGTTTTTTTTTTTTTTGCCTAACCTTAACATACCTTAACTTTAGTTGCTACTAGCAGATAATATAGGAATGTAAATAGAATTGTATGCCTTATTACCAACCTTATTCCCTAAATAGTGAAAAAACATCTTTTCATTAGTGTACTGTGGTAGTTTTGCAAGTTAATTACCATTCAGGGACAGATAGAGATTCTGTTATTGTTTTACTAATTGTCTGTGCTTATGTGCTTTGTATGTTATCCTGTATGTCCTTTATGTCTCATATGGTTATGACATATAGGAGAAATCAGTATGGCTATTGTGTTACAACTATTTGTGCTTTTATCTGTGTTTATGTGAATTTGTCTATGTTTATGTGCTCTTTGCATTTGTGAGTTTCTGGGTTTATGTGATTTTATCTGTGCTTATGTGCTTTTCTTTTAATGTTTCTGACATGCAATCATCCTGCCAGGGACTGCAGATGAAAATTAGCCTGTATGGCTAAATCTGGCAATTTTACACAGTGAGTTAATTAATTTGCATTGTCACTTTTTAAATAAATAAACTTCAAACTTTATATTTAAATCTTGCATTTTTTATTTTTTAAGTTAAAGTTTATATATCATGACTTTATTTAGTTTTTTAATGAAATCACCACAGAACCATGTAACCTAGCAGCCAAAGGCCAGTAAACATAATTGGGTACTCAAAAACATATTTTTAAATTGTCACTTCAAGGAAAATGAAGCAAAAGAGGTACTTTGTTAAAAGGACTTAATATAATGGATAATCACAAGATAATAACTGTATTTCCTAAATTAGCCTGTTTATAACTACATGTAAAAAAAAAAAAACAAGGTAAAATGCTTTGTTGAATAGATTTCACTTACAAACCCTTTTTGCCGATATCAAAGCCTGAACGTCCTTCGCCATGCATTGTTCACAAACCAAAAGTAGCTAATAATAGAGAGCGACCATTCTAATGTCAGATATATGGGAAATTGCAAATCGGCCTTGGGTCACTCAGTCAGCTAAACTGGGTATTCATCCTTCAGAGTTAAATAAGAAAAAATGAACTGAGAGACGAGAGGGAAACACATATAAAAGAAGACATTTCAAACTTTAATAACTTAAGAGAGCACTCACTGTGGGCCTTCATGAGGATTAATGCTTTGTTCTCCAGATACTCGCCAATCAATAACCAACAGGCCCAGACATCTTTATTCGCAGACAGCTCAAATGCTGGTCAAAAGGAAGAAAAAGAACAGAGCCCCCTATTCTGCTCTCCCTGCATGTTTCAAGGCACAGTGATATTCCTGTCTCCCCTCCTTAATCTGGCCTGCATTCAAGTTGGCCTTCTTTATGTGCAGTGTTTTTTTTGTGTGCGTGTGTGTCTGTGTGTGTTTATGAACATACGCTGCATCGGGTGAGCAGAGATTATGACACCTAATGGATTAGGGCCAATAACAATTCTAATGTGTTTTAAAAGACACACATGAGGCAAAATCTACGTATGCAAATGCAAGATATACTATGTACAAAATTACTCTTTTTATTAGGAATAGGACAAAAAAATTAAACTAACCGTCCGGGGTGAAAGGAGCATTTGGAAATTGCAGATAAGGGATGAGAATAACAATAGAGGAGTGCACTAAACATGTGTTTGCCTACCTAATCCTGGTGCTTCACTCCCACATCCTGGCTTCTTTGGGCTAATCCAACTGTAAACAAACAACAATCTTTGCAACACATCTAATTATTAGAAATATGACAAAATAAGGGAAATCACATGGGGGGGGGCAGTTTTCCTCTTAAAATGTGTGTCCTCATTCCTTTCTCCCCGATGGTGGACTCCCACAGTCCTTGGGCCTTTGTGTCTGTCTCCTCTTTATGAATAGAGGCTTAACCATGGCCTGAAGCAATGCGTCTTCTGCTCCCTCATTGATAGCCAATGCATTATTCATTTATTTTCATCATATCATCAGACGTGCATAAGCTTCACCCAGTTATTTCTGGGGAGCGGCATTGATTATTATTTCTTTCCTCCATTACTTCTCAGGATCTCACGGAACACATTCACACTATTCAATCATCCCTGGCCTCTCAACTTTATCAAGACCCTAGCTGAGATGAAAGCTAATCTGTATTATTGATTATCAGAGGGATTAGCTCCCAGTGAAAGTTAAGGTTAGCCCCCCAGTGCCGTTGATCAATGGAAGGGAGCCAGTCCTTTTTGTCAGGAGAGTGTCACTGCACGCTACCCTCTTATGGGTGGGTTAGATGCTTTGTGTGCATGCAAAGACAGGAGAAATAATGTTCAGATCATACATACATTCCTAATAGTCCATTTTTTTCATTAGTTCATTCAAACTTCATGCACCCCATGCTAGCGATGAAAAAGCCTTTTTCCGTCTTCAGCAGACAAAACACAAGCAGGCCAATTGGTAAGATGAGGAACAAAGAGTTTGAAACTCTATATCCTGTGTCCACAGCCCTGTGTGTAAGTCAGCGCCCTGGACCAATTATCCATAGCTCTTTCCCCTACCTTTCTTTACCTAGAATGAAAGACAAACAAAAACCCAAAGCAGCTGGCTTCCTTGGTGCTTCTGTATGAAAGCACTGCTTCTCTCTCGACCCTCTCTTCATCCAGTGCCCACAAGTCTCCAGCCTTGACCATACATTATCTTTCAGGCTCAATGCTCCTCTTCCTCCACTCCTTTTCCCTCTTCTCTCCTTTTCTCTACCTCTACAAGAATAAAGCGCTCCTAATGACCGTGGGCTCTCAAGGGCCTGCTGGTGCCCGGGTACTCGAAAGTGCGGTGCGCAGTGGAAAGGGGGGCACCTCCTCCTTCTCTTCCTCCTCTTTTATCACAGGTGAGAATAGAGGGTCAAGAGGGGTTAATGTGCTGCTGTTGCACAGAGGTTTGGGCTATCACCATGGCAGCAAGCATGTTGAATACCAAGGTGTATTTCCTTCCTCCTAAAAGAGAGGTTTGTTTGCATCTTGTTTTTTTGGCCTTTGGGTTCAACTTCATTTTCAAATTGTAGGTTGAAAAGGTTTAGCTTTGACACTTTCAAGTAAGCTGAGGGTGAAAAGACGATGTTTTACTGCTGCTTTTCAACCAGTTTTGTATCAATACCATGTAGGGAGTACATGCAAATGAACAATGTTTAACCATGTTGCCAGCACTCAAAGCTCCCCGCTCATTTGCTAGAAAGATCGAACTGCAGATTGTCAGTGGACAGTCGGATCAAGAGAGGCTAAACATGTTATCTGGCAGACCTTTGCCAACAAATGAGCAGGGAGCTCTGGGTGCAGGCAACATGGAGGGAGGGTAAACGTTGTTCATTTCCATATACTGCCCACATTGTAATGATGCAAAGCTGGTTGAAAATGTGCAAAGTTTCCCTTCAAGGAAACCTTGTCCAAGTCCAACAGTCCAGCAGAGTGCACTAAATCACCCCAAAGATCCACAAGTTCCTCTCTCAACACCAGCACATTTGTTCCTCCTGTAGTCGTACGAGGCCTGCAGCACATGAACGGAAAGCCACAGGGTCAAGGGCTGAGGTCACTGGATGGGTTCAAGGGAAGATAACAACTGGTCAGTTGTTGTGAGAAATGTACACACACATACTGTACATGCAGATACTTTTTCCTTGACATGCGTGGCACAGATACACTTGACTTTAATTGTTGGATTCAGAGAAATTGTTTAGCATGGTGCAGACCTGAGAAAATTAATCATTAAAACCCTGCAAGGCTCTATGTGCTCATTTAAATTCCATGTCGACAATAAATTAGCTCACTCCTTTATTCTTTTTCCCTCAAACTTGAAACAAATGCAGGCAAATCTAAAATAATTAATTTCAAAGGGTGGGAATTAAAGAACATTTCCATCTAACTATACCGATGCAATTTGCATTTTGATTTCTGCGATTTCTGCACTTTTGTTATTTTGCTCCCTCACACTCTCTCTCTCTCAAGGTTCTCGCTTTAATATCAGTGTGGATCAAAAGCTTTTCATTAAGGTTTTCTGCACTCCTTCCAGCATTGTTTGGCTCCTAGGATAACAACAAAGTGCTTTCCACTACTCCAGGGCCAGGTTAGCAGAGAAGAAAGGAACGGTTATTCCTGGGCTAAGTTCACATCAAACACAAGGGGCTCCAAGTGAGAGAAGATGAAAGCGCCAGGCCTGACCCGGAAGATTAGACCAACACTGCTGCCAGCTCTGTAGCACCCAGGGGCCATTCTCACTCCGGGATCCTACCCCTCCTCTTCATACAGCACAATGGAGTTTAGCACAGAACAAGCCTAGAAGAAGAAGAGAGTAAAATATGAGGAGAGAAGGAGATGAAGAAGTAAACGGAGGAAGAACAGAGAAACAAAGATACAAAGGAGCAGAGTGAGGGAGACAAAGAAGAAGAGAGGGAAAATGGATGAGAGGGGAAAAGGAAGAAAGAAAAATGTAATATAATTTCAAGAGTGTAAAACTGCAGACTATTCCAACCTACTTTTCTCGCCTCTGCTGCCGCCTACTCTGACAGATAGTGGTGAGGCTAGGAATAATGCAGATTATCATAATTGCTTAAAGTGTGTGTGAATATTCATGATTTTTCCAGCCTTATTATAGCAACAAATCCACACCACAGTGAATGTAAATGCATTGTGATTATTTTACATAGCGCAATGCCCCCAATCCCTTCTCCCCCTCTGTGTGTGTGTGTGTGTGTGTGTGTGTGTGTGTGTGGACTGCAGCTGCGGGTGTCAAGGTTGGGTGCTATCTCTAACTGGCCCTCATCAGCTGGCCGAGCTGTTGCCATGAGCGGGGAGAAAAAGTGTGATGTGAAAGAAAGGGGTAAGATGGAGGGAAGTAAGAAGTGGGGAATGAGGAGGGGGTAAAGGGGCAACAACAACAATGTGATCAGTTAGCCAAGGAAGTAAAGAAGGTGGGGAAAAGAATATGTGCGAAAGGAAGGAGGGGTCATCCATGCACCAAAAAATGCACTTTCCCATCATGGTGTGAAGTTTGTTGAGAGCTAAAGAAATAAAGACAAAGGAAAAAAAAGAATGTGAATGAAAGAAAACATAAGTACAGGATGTTGAGGTGTCACAATTAGGGGTACGAAGAAGTGTGGTTGGGTCACAGGGACATACAAGGCACATAGCATCTAAATATCAAGACCCCCACCCACCCCCACCCACCCCTTTCAACCACACGCACACACACACATAGGCCCCCTCCTGCTCCTGTGCCCATACTTCTGAGGTGCCAGATGGCACAGGACAAACCCTCCTTAGGGGAAACAGCGTGATGACCCCTCCCTCTCTCACCCATACTTTCTCACACACTGAAGACACATGGAAACAGAGATGGGGGTGGGGGGGTTATCAGCGATGCCCATCAAAGCATACACACACAAGCTTTGCACTGAGTAACTCCAGAGATTCGGCGATACCTCGGCATGCCTTGACATATTCTGAGGCAGGCGAAGAATTTCAATAGCCCTTGAAAAATTTGGCTAGCCTGTGGGCCTGCTGCACTGCCTCACGGACAGTGCCCAACATCAAACATTAGC